GCGTCCTACAAAAATTATACGGGATTATTACCGTATCAATACCAAACGGGTAACTAGCCTTCCACCGCAATGTTTTAAGTTATGTTTAAAATTTTGGTAATAAATTCCTACGAGCCGGTAATTATATCCTACAAATTTAGATAACACTCTTTACCATAATTTTAATAAAGTGTAGTACAAATTGTTTCCGTTGTGGTGCTGATGAGATCTACATTTTGGTGTAGTTTATTACCATGGAAGTAAGAATTTTAATACATTTGGTGTGAAATGTGAGACGCTAAACAGTGCGCATTTCTCAGTTTCAGTTTCCGCTCAGCTCAACTCAAGTCAACACGGCGAACCAATTCTGCCCGTGGGATAAAAATTGAAAAACTTCTGGAAATTATATATAATTGTTGGAAACAGGTGAGTATCAAATTATCATATGTAGGTGCCTTATCAAGATGGTGATCATCGAACGAGTAAATAATAATCTTATGCATTTATTTTTTCAGTGAAACAAAAATTCAAGTTGGAAATCGGAGCAGGTATTTTTCTGCAAGACGATCAGGAGGCGTAGATCGACTTTATTTTTAGTTTAAAGTTAAATACTCGGATTCTATGTTTGGTATTGCTAAAGTGAAAGATTTATATATACATGATTACTTTGAAACAATGCAAAATTGTAAAACAGTTGTTAATTATATAAGTGTACGGCAAAAGCTATAAAATATTTAGTTCGATTTAAATTTCATGTAAATATGTATGTATGTATGTATATAAATCAATAGTTTACATTATTCTTAAGTTTTGTAATTATGTATTATATGTCAAAATTATTTTACAATAAACCGTCGCAAACGCGCATACGGAAGTAGCTTCAGACGTACTTCACCCCAAACGGTCCCACCAAAACTCGGGAACACTTAATTTCACTCTATTTCACCTATAGATTAATTTTTTGTAAAAATCTCATTTTGCCCCGACCACACCCCCTGGCGACGAGGGGGTGTGGAACAACTCGGGAACACTTAATTTCACTCTATTTCATCTATAGATTAAATTGCACTAAAAATCTCATTTTGCCCCAACCACAACCGCTGGCGCCGAAGGGGTGCGGCAAAATCGGGGAAACACTCAATTTCACTTAATTTCACTTAATTTCATTTAATTTCACTTAATTTCACTTAATTTTACCCATAGAATAAATTGCACTAAAAATCTCATTTTGCCCCAACCACACCCCCTGGGGCCGAGGGGGTGTGGCACAATCGGGGAAGCACTTAATTTCACTTAATTTCACTTAATTTCATTTAATTTCACTCAATTTCACCTAATTTTACCCATAGATTAAATTGCACTAAAAATCTCATTTTGCCCCAACCACACCCCCTGGCGCCGAGGGGGTGTGGCACAACTCCGGAACACATAATTTTACTCTATTTCACCTATAGATTAAATTGCACTAAAAATCTCATTTTGCCCCAACCACACCCCCTGGGGCCGAGGGGGTGTGGCACAATCGGGGAAGCACTTAATTTCACTTAATTTCACTTAATTTCATTTAATTTCACTCAATTTCACCTAATTTTACCCATAGATTAAATTGCACTAAAAATCTCATTTTGCCCCAACCACACCCCCTGGCGCCGAGGGGGTGTGGCACAACTCCGGAACACATAATTTTACTCTATTTCACCTATAGATTAAATTGCACTAAAAATCTCATTTTGCCCCGACCACACCCCCTGTCGCCAAAGGGGGTGTGGTCCGGTTGCCCCCAAAAGTTGATGGGATCCTCCCCCTGGGGTCCTATGTATGATGGCGAAAACCGATTTCGATTATCTCGATCCGTTCTCCTGATATCCTGCTGACAGACAGACGGACAGACAGACAGACAGACAGACAAAGTCTTCACATAAAGTAGCTGAAGCTACTTAATAAATATAATTTAATGAAAGATTATTGTAAAGAAAACAAAAATCTATTCTTTTCGGTGGAAATCTGCACTACATTTGGTAATAATGGGGTATACGTAAGACAAGCATTAATACCGGTATGAATAGCACACCGTGTACAAAATGGGGTGGTTTAGTACCAGGCGGTAGACATTTTACTACATATTGTAGTACATCTGTCATACATCATGGTATTAATTTTATCCGAAAAAGTGGTCTTTATTACCACTTCGGGTTAAATCAATTTCTTTACCAGCTGGTGGTTATTATTACCGTTTCTGCAGAGTCATATACGTGTGCATTTTGGTAATGATTTGGTAATGATTTTATTTAGAGTGAAGGCTTTAGACACATGTTTCAAGCTTTTTACTGTTCTTCACATACCATTACCTTTGGAATCGTTAGATTTATGGATGTTTATTGTTTATGGTGTAGGGGGTAAACCATTTTCCCGAGGTCAGGTTCCGCCAGTTGTGCAGTCTTTAATTGGTCAGATTCTACCAAAAATTTAGATTTTATATTTCATTTTTTTTAATTCAACGTTATTAGTAATGTCAATGGTCCGAGTTTAAATGAGTTTAATACTGCAATATTATAATTTTAGATATTCAAATACTTCATAATCATTGTATCAATTATTATTGGTGATTAAGTGTAATCAATTAATAAATTACTCGTCAATCATAAATAACAATACGTACTTGATTTGTGAACTTCATTTAAAGCATACTGATCCTTTATAAAAGGCAAAATGCACTTGGCCTGAAGCATATCATAAAGCTCAATCTAAAGTAAGCTCATACCCTGAATCAAGCCACACGATAAGAAATGTAGCTCTGTTAGATAGATAGCTCAACTTGCCTCAACTTGGTGCGGTGCACGGGCCTTTCCACACTTAGCACCAGAGCACGTCCACGCAGAAAAGTGTGCATCATATTACAATACAACAAATGATCTGAACGAAAATCATTCATTTTATGGGTTATAATTTAATCAAAATAGCGGAAATAAGTTTTCAATTTTTTCACGGCGGTCTCGAAAAACAAAAACGTTGTCAATTTTTGAAATTTGGTATAGAAATTATGATAAAATTGCAGTATAGCGGCCTAGCTCGGATTTGACTGAAATTTTTTGTGTGAATACCCTAAGGTCCCATGTGCATAAAAATACCTTTTTTCGCGGCGGTTTCAAAAAATAGAATTTCTAAAAATTTTTGAAATTTTGTATAAAAATAATTTTTCTCTTAGATTTTCATGAAAATGGCTTTTGAAAAAGGAGAGCTAGCTAGTAGTGCTACCTAGGAGAGCTAGCTAGTAGTGCTACCTAGGAGAGCTAGCTAGTAGTGCTACCTAGGAGAGCTAGCTAGTAGTGCTACCTAGGAGAGCTAGCTAGTAGTGCTACCTAGGAGAGCTATCTGGGAGAGCTAGCTAGTAGTGGTACCTAGGAGAGCTAGCTAGGAGTGCTGGAAACTAGAAATCTCATCTTACCCCGAAAATCTGATTTTACCACAAAATATTCCTATCGTGTGGGAAACTGAGACAAAGTCTTGAAATTCTCTGGAACATCCAAGAAAAATTTGTATACAAAATTTCAATAATTTATAACTTTTTTACTATTGAATGTTTTTCAAAAAATCCTTCATATTCTTGTTCAGCATAGTTTAATTAGTCTATAAAATCATTTTCAGGAAAATCTGAGGCAAAAAATAATTTTTATACAAAATTTCGAAGCTTTCTAGAAATTTTAATTTTCGAGACCGCCGCAAAAAAAAAGTATTTTCTTGCTCAGGGGACCATAATAGGTATTTACACAAAAATTATCAGCCAAATCCGAGCTAGTCCACTGAAATAAATCCGAGCTAGGCCGTAATAATGCAATTTTACCAAAAATAATTTACAAAATTCACTCCCCAATCACTACAGAAGAGAATAAGAACCAGTTCAAAATAATAAATTAAAGAAGGAAGGTTGAAGTTTATTAATTATTTGGAACATTTGTTATAATTTATAATTAATTCTCCAGTATAATTATTCGACTTGAGTAAACAAGAGGAGAGAAAAACAGAACGAGAGTGGGCATGGATGAGTGTTCAAAAGTTGTTTTCCCACGTCCAAAAAGCATCCTCGCGAAAGAAACAGTCTATTCCAAGATATATTTTGTCGTATGGAATCAAGCTTGCGCTCACTTCATCTGGAGCGATAGCTTTGCTTCATCCATAGCTTGCTTAATTACTTCAGTCAAAGCAAAACTGGTTGCTTTTATGAAGTAAAGCTCGAATTTACTTGATATGGGTGAAGGGCACTTTTTACTTCACGAAAAGTCGTTTTTTACTTTAGACGAAGCGGTTTGTTTTTAGTGTGAAGCCTGGCAACGGCTCCATCTACCATTCAACTTGTTGAGCGATGAGAAGAGGGAATTTATTGAGGCGTTAAATCTGCCAACTTTCGAAGCTCCCGAGTGTGGAGTGCTGGTCAAACGGGTCACTCTGGTGATTAAGGATGGAGCAGTTTTGAAGGTGTTTTATCCCGTGTTTCCGGCAGATAAGAGCGCCGAAATTGTGGTTGAGTGGGCGAAGAAGAATAATATTTGAGGCCAAGAGTAACAAGGACGAGGTGCGAATTGAAATATGTCATATTACAAATTGGTGTGTCATGCAAGACTAAATTTGTCAATAATAAATTAAATGAGAAGCAAGCAATAACGTTTTTATATTTTAAAATCCGTACAACTAAATATAAAAATCTGCAGCATAACTAATTAGATGCATGGGTCTACTAATTGAAAAAAATAAGATGACAAAAATGTAGAACGAACGACTCTGATCGAGTTCAGAGCCTAAATTCATTTGCAAATCTTGGTTCATATTATTTTTTAGGTTTCATGAAACGAAAAGTCAATTAGAACAGGTATGAATAAATGGATTATGTAAATATGTATGCATTAGCGTTTTATGAATAGGATAATTTATTTACTGGTAAATAATGTTATGGAAGGGAAATTTGGATAAAATACATAAGTTTGAACCACTTATGTATTTTATGAAAAAAAAGTCCTTCGGAAGTATTGAGATGGTGATCACATTTTATTAAATTAAGCATTATAAACTTGGCCAAGACATAAATATTGATACTATTCACATTCTAATTTGAGGGGATCCTCTCCAGCGTCGTCTTCATCCGAAGAATAGGAATTATTACCGTCAAAAGCCAACATTTTAAAACCGATGTGTTCACCTTCCGCGTCCATATCGCTGTCGCTCTCATGCTCAGATTTTACATCGCTAAATGGCGAAAAATTGGCACGATTATTGAGGTCACAATCTTCATCTTCAGACTTGATCTCATCCTTTGTCCCATAATTGTTGGCCTCCTCCACGTCGTCGTCGTCCTCCTCGGAAGAAAGGACATCTCGAATGGTACAATCTTCCTGCTTTATTTCCACTTCGTCGTCTGGAATATGCTCAATTTTTGTACGGGATCGCGTCACTCGTGAAGATGATGGCCTGGATTGTGCAGGACGGCTGGAATAAGCGAGATTTACAGTTAGAACCATCGAAAAGAAATTTTATACCAAAACTACCTTCACCTTTGAGTAGAAAACGTTTATAAATTACGTCATCAAAGAAAGGTGGGGGGTGAGTGATTTTACGTCGCCAAACTCACGCAAAGTTTCCTCAGAGTGGGTTAGGGGCCGTCCATAAATTAGGTAACGCAAAAATCGCGATTTTCTCTAGACGCCCCTTTAACATGTGTGACATAGGCAGGATATCATTCGAGCCGCAGATCCACCCTCTTGCGTTATGTAATTTATGTACGGCCCCTTCAGGAAGGGCTGCGCTGCGTGAGTGTTGTCAAAATCAGCGTAATATATTTTTTGATGAAGTAATATATGAACGTTCCCCCACCAACCTTTCTCCATTTGCAAGACGCTTTTGCACGCCTTGATTTTTCTTTCGCCCTATATGGCTTTGTTCGCTCGATGCCCAGCGGTTTTCCTTGGGGGCTGAATGGTCCATAGTTAAATGTCTCCTGAGCAGATTTGGCTTGGCGAACAGGATGGGGCAGTGGGGGCAGGGGAGGGTGTACTCCTCGGGGGGCAGGTGGTTCCTTTTATGCCGGGTCATGTCAATTCGGACGACGAAGCCGGTGCGACAAATGTCGCACTTGAGTGGCCGCTCGGCGCGGACCTTGTTCTCGTGACGGCGAGCAATGTGCGACTTGAGGTTAGGTTGTGACGTAAAACGGAGAGAAGAACAGGACGGTTCTGAAAAAATAGATTAATTAGAAATTTTAGAAGATCTGCGTACACTTAAAAATCCAGTAACAAAATTGTACAAGCTCTACCCAAACGGCATTGACAAGTAATACGATTTAGTAATATCTGGATATTTAAGTGTCACCATAGCGATATCAAATTTTACAGGACCGAATAAGTTTATCGTGTAACTGTCATAATTTTGATAAGAGTAAACGAAACCTGCATGCGTGACTATATTTACCAGATTTCTAACAAGTTATCGCCGGCCCAATTATAAATCCGGGGATGTCAAATAGAGATGAGTCGGTTGGATATTTTTCTAATCCTTCCGAACCGACTTTTAATTTTTCGGTTGACAAAATATTCATCCTCAATCCGAACCGGTTTAATACTTTATCCGAAAGTCGGATAATCGACTTAACTCTGCAACCTCACAGAAGTTTCATACATGGGTGGGAATGACCCAATTCGTGTATAATATTTTGGGGAAGTTGACCGGAAATATAACCCGATTTATAATTCAACCGAAAATATACATATTTCTCAAATTATATAATTTGTCCAATATTTTGCACATAAATTTGCATAATCTCACCAGGACATCGGAGTCCGGCGCTCGAGCTTTCGCCAGATTCATCCGAGGGCGGATGCATCGTTTTCACGTGCAGGTTTAGATAATATTTTCTCCCAAACTTGCGCCCACACCCGGCCCACTCGCACCGGAACTGGGCCATTTCCTCGGGCTTCTTGTGCGTTTCGAAGTGTGCCTTGTACGCGTTGTGGAACACGTGGATCTTGCAAATCTCACAGCGAACCTTTGGGGACGTCCCGAGTCGAATACTTTCCTCCTTTTCGGCCTCGTTCTTGTGCGTCCATTCGTGCTGCGCGTGACCATAAACGGTGACCGGCCGGGCACAGATGCGATACGGGATTTTTCGGTATGACGGGTTTGAAGTGTCCGATTCTGCGTAGTCTTTGTTCCCTTTGCATCGGTTGCCTTGGGTGAGGTGCGCGGCGAGTCGGTCCTGCCCGGAAAACTCTTTGCCACATTTGTCGCATGACAAGAATCCTTTCCCGGATTGGATGGCGGCCTCTTTTTCTTCGGGAGTTTTGTGCCCCCATAAATGCGCGGAGATGTTGGACACGGTTTTTCCGCAGAGGTCACAAATGTGGGTGGTAAGTCGACCGAGGGAGTGCATCTTTGTGATGTGTTTTTGTAAGCTGTGAGGGAAGATTTAATTTTATTAGGGATATTTCTCTCAGAATGGAACCTTTTTTTCGGGAAAAATGAAGCCAAGAATTAGGGAACACAGGAAACTTTTCTTCCCGTCGAATAAACTTATGGGTCTGGGGAATGTGTCAAAACCTGTAAATGAGGTGACTACTAGCACAAATAATTCACTCTAATTGGCACGTGGTTCGTAGGGTTGGCTAGATTTTTTGACATAACTCGTTAGAAAATATCGGTATGGTATAGCAATAAAAAAAGGTTCCATTCTGAGAAAATTGATGAGAATATGAGTAAATTTGTGAAGATGCATACATGTATTTGGAAGTGTAGTTCTTTTCGCAGGGTTCACACCGAAAAGCGTCTGAAAATTGGTTACCAGTCAGATCAGTAAAAATACCTTTATACCTTTTTAAAAGGTGGGGTTTCTCCTACATAACGGACAACGAAAAAGGGTTTGCGCCGGGATGAAGTCGTAATGCATGAATATACTCAAAAGAACCCATTATTTTAGTATGGACTATTAATACTTACACTTTGTCGCCCTTAACGACAGCCTTCTCCCCCCGCGCTTGTTTTCTTAGCGCGTGGTATATTTTCTGTCTCGTTGAGTTGCTCTCCTTGGGCACCGCGTGTTCCTTGGTCAAATGGCACCTCAACCCTTTCGACGTGGCGAACAGGGCGGGGCAATGGGAACACGTGAGCGTGTAGTCGTCACGTGGCCGGTGATTCTTCAAATGGTGGGTGAGGCCAGTTTTGATCGGGTAGCTCACGTGGCAGATGTCGCACGTGAAGGGTTGCGCGCCAGGTGGCGCTTGGGTTTTCCTTCGCTCGTTGTACCTGCGACACCGCTCGGCCGTGGTGACCCGGGGGACGCCATGTTCCGCGGTGAGGTGTCTGCGCAGGATGTGGGGGCAGGCGAAGAGCATGGGGCAGTGGGGGCACGTGAGGATGAAGTCCGCGCGGGGCCGGTGGTTCTTGAGGTGTTTTGTGAGGTCGTTGTTGATGAGGAAGCGCGCCTGGCAAATGTCGCACTTGATGGGGCGCTCGGCGCGGATTTTGAATTTGTGAAGGCGACGGATGTGATCTTGCAGGTTGGGGTGCGTCGTGAAAAAGCGGGAGGAGCAGGACGGGTCTGGAAGATAGCAAAGGAGATAACAAATATTTGTAAATAAGCTGGTACAAAGATCATGGTTTAAGCGTAACATGAAGCAAAAACTACAGTTTGGCCACCTGAATAAGAGACTATTTTGGTCAATTTTAAAATTTTCTGGTAACTAAGAAAAATATGTAAAAACCTAAAAAAGCTATTCACAAATTATATGCCAATTTTAAATACATTTGTTAGCGATTTTTAGTTTTAATTAGTTGCTATCCTGGGAAAAATTGCAAAATGCGAAAAGAGTCTCTAACTCAAATGACCAAACTGTAGAAGCAAAGAAAAATGGTAGAAAGTCCTGGAAGCTGAAAAGTTTTTAGGAATTGGTCTCCAGAATTTTTTGTCAGAAACGGAAGCACTGCAATTTTTTTCGAAAGCCGAAGGCTGAAAATGGGCAGCTATATTTAAACAATTAGAAATGTGCTATCAAAATCTCACACGGGCACTGGAAAGAACCGGCCTCTCCCACTTTCCGGTCTTTCCTCCCGATGGAAATAGCAACCCCCTCGTGGTCAATTTTCGTATGGCGGATGAGGAACTCCTCCCCCGAAAACTGGCGACTGCACCCGTCCCACTCGCACCGGAAGGAGGTCCTCTCCTCCGGCTGTTTATGCGTTTCTAGATGCTTCTTGAAACCCGTGTGAGGCACGAATTTGCCGCAAATGCGACACGGAACCATGGGCGCGGTCCCGAGGCGCACGCTCTCCTCCTTTTCCTCCGCGCTCTTGTGGGTCCACTCGTGCTGGGTGATGTTGGAAAGGAAGACGGGTTTGCGACACGTGGGACATGGCAACGTCCGGTTTGACCCGGAATCGAGGGGGCGCGGGAGGTCGCTCCGTTTGCACCGGTAGCCGATCGTTTGGTGCGCGGCGAGTTTGTCGAAGCCCTTGAATTCCTTGCCGCACTTGTCGCACGTGAGGATTGCGAAGCCTTTGCCGGACTGGATGACCTCGCGTTGTTCGGCGGGGGACTTGTGGTGCCAGAGGTGCGCGGGCAGATTGGAGACGGATTTTCCGCAGAGGTCGCACAGACGGAGGAGGGTGATTTCGGGGGGATGCATTCGCTGGAGGTGGTGCTGATGGCTGGGAGAAGGGGCAAAATTTTAGTAAAATTAATTTGGCCAGTTAATTGTTTGACCCTTTACAGAGTATGATTGATTAACTACGAGAAAAGTACAAGTATTTTGGGGTCATGAGGCGGGAGAAGAAATTCAGTTGTTTTAAAAAACTCGAAAAAACTGAAAGATCTAGAATTTAATACAGTATGAAATGTCCAAATTTTCGGGAAGAAAAGGTTAAAATTAAACTTTGGCTGGTATACGTAGGAGAAATCCCTAAAAAAAGAATGCAGATTTTGTGCTGCGGAGATAAAATGGTGAGAATCAGTGACCTTCTATATAGAACTCTCTTCCTCCGGCAACATAACCCAAATTTTTGAGGACGACTTTTGTCTTCCTTCCGAGTTAAACAATTTCTTGGATAAAATGACAATTTTTTTCCTAACGAATCAAAGAGTTAATTTTTGATAGTGTAAACTTACCATTTATGAGTGGTGAAATTCTTCTCGCACAAATGACACCGATAAGCGTCTGAAAATTTGAGGGATTTTTAATTTAAATTGATAAAATTGGGAGAAAAATGGTAAAAAATTCTCAACTCACTTAAATGTTTGGCCTTGACGTGCACCTTGATGACCTGGAGTCGTCTCCAGTTTTCCTTGTAATGCGCCCCCGTCACAAAGCCGCAGGTGAGGCAGGTGTAAATCCCGTCTTCTAAGGCGATCTCATAGTTTTCGTACATTTTCCGGCCGTCCGGCGTGTCGACGAGGGGGCCGAGGATTTCGGGGATGGTGTTTCTTCGTTTTTCGAGCATGACCTCTTTCTCCTTTGGGGTCAAGCGACGGTGGGGTTTCGACGAAATGTTTTAAGTTGAAACAATTAAATTAATGAACGTAAACCTTATCCTATACGCTGGAATTTTATGCAAACAAAAAATAGGATAACGTGCAATCTGAGGCAATATATTAATTTCACGAGGAGAAATAAATCTCACCTGATTTTGATTAAATATTTAGGTTGACAAATCAATTTATTTGTTATTTTTTTCTCCTCCAGATGAGAGCGAGAAAATCCCTCCCGTCACGCGAGTTTGAGTTGGGTCGGGGTGAAGAGAAACGAGGAAAGCGAGAAAAGGAGGAGGCACCCTTCTTATGGGAAAACTGCCTGCCGTCGAATTTTCTGAATTTTTGATATGTTGTAGACTTCGATGTGCTGAACAAAAGTCTCCATACCTCCGACCCCAGATTTTCACTGGTTTGACCTCCAACCGAGGTCAAAGGTCAATAGAACTTGGCCATAAATAAAAACATGCAAGATTTTGAAAATTTCTTGTGACTTATGTTGTTGATGGATTTTCAAAATTCCAAATGTTTTTGAAGCCTTGGACCGTTGGGCGAAATATATATTCCCAGATTTTTTAAATTCGACCACACCCCCCGGATATTGAGGTCATAAGGTCAACAAGCGAGATACATTTTTCCAACTAGTTATTTCAGTTTAAAATGGATGTATAATGGCTCGGTTACCAATTTTTGGCGAAATCACGGCGAATTGTAGGGTCGTCAAAGGAGAGCTCAGTAGGTCACACCCCTCTAATATGGGCCGTGGTGGGTGTGGTCGAAAGTGGAAACAAATGAGTAAAATCCGTTTCCACCATGGTTTCACAAATTAACCATCCCTATTTAACGTAATTTTGACCGTGTTATCCACCTCAACACAATGACCTTATGTTGTATGACCATGGGGGCAGGGGGTGTGGCTATCAGCGCTTTTGTATCAACTTGATCAATACCTGGCATGCGACATATCATTTTTCTCAGCGTGCCGAGGTGATTACGATGCAATACTTCAAATTTGGAAACCACACCCCCAGTGGGTGTGGTTCCCGGCGACTTTTCCAATCCTTTGCAGATAGGTCATGTAGCATATCATTTTTCTCAGCCAACTGAACAGATTACGATGCAATACTTCAAATTTGGAAACCACACCCCCAGTGGGTGTAGTTCCCGGCGACTTCTACAATCCCTTGCAGATAGCTCATGTAGCATATCATTTTTCTCAGCGGACCGAGGAGATTACGATGCAACACTTCGAATCTGGAAACCACACCCCCTGTGGGTATTGTTCGGCGTGATTTTCAGATCATTCGCATATAAGGCATGTAGCATATCATTTTTCTCAGCGAACTGCATGGATTCTGATTTGATACTTACAATCTCATAACCACACCCCCTGTGTGGGTGTGGTCTTTGGCAGCTTTTCTCGTCCAGTAAATTCGGGCTGTCAATGTGCCAATTGACACGTCGACATATCATAATTGTCATAAATTTCAAATATAACTGACATTTAAAACGTGTCAATGTAAGTATTTGTCAAATTTGGTGACACATTGACATTGACATATTGGATATTTTTGACATTTTCACAAATCTGAGTTAACTACAGTATCATGCATATATGATGATACAGTGTTTTCTACAAAATTCAAATTGTTGGTTCTCCAGAACAGCTTATTATTTTAATCTAATTTGTGCACCATTTATTCACAGCGGCTATGAGTACATATGTGCAAAATGTTGAGTTAATTGAATGGAAACTGAACTTTCTATGAACATTTGAGTCTCGAAAAACGTAAATTGCATCGTGCATAAGTGTTGATACAGCAAAGAATTCGTGCGAGGTTACCCAATTCTGAGTTGAACCCTGTACCGAGAAAATTATTCTGAGAAAGAACACATGTTGTTGCTTAAAATAAAAATAATTTCTGGAAGTTTCATTTCAAAATGACAACAAGACTGATGCACAGCGTCGAAATCCGAACCAAAATTGTATCGTGTCACCAAAAGGGTTTCACGGTGGACAAATTGGTGAAAAATTTGAAATCCCTATGTCGACCGTCCAACACATTGTCGACAAATGGGAAAATACTGATGCAGTTGTAAATCGTCACCGACAAGGTCGAAAACGCCATACCACTTCACGACAAGACACGGCAATTGTGAGGAAAGTGAGGATGAATCCAGGGCTGTCCGCCCAAAAAATTGCATCACAAGTGAAAAGCGGGTTTGGAATTAATTTACATCCTTCCACGATACAACGCAGACCAAAATCTGTTGAACTTTCCGGAGAAATTGCCAAAAAGAAGACATGGTTCCCAGAGAAAAACCGGAAGAAGCGTTAGGCCAGGGAACTGCATAAGGCTACTTGCACCGTTATCGACTAGAAAAATTTTTTGTTCCCGGATGGGACCAAAATTGTGCTCCTTGGTTCTAATGGAGTTAGATGAGTGCGGTGGAAGGCAAAGGAGACCTTTTTAAAGCGTAATCTTAGACCCACCACGAAACATGGTGGAGGTGAACCAATCAATGGTTTATTCGCTCAAAAGATTAGGTCTAAAAAACCGTTAATTTTGCATGAAGAGTCATGGCATGGGGTAGTATAGCCTGGAAAGGTGTCGGGACACTGGAATTTATCGACGGTGTCATGACTAAGGAGGTTTACCTGGATTTGTTAAAAATAAATATCCGCCAGTCTGCTACATAAGTTGAATTGGCTCGCAAATTCATATTCAAACAGGACGGAAATCCAAAACATAAAGCCAAAATCATCCGCAAATGGCTGAAGGAGACTAAGATAAACACGTTAGATTGGGTTACCCAGTCTCTTGACCTCAACCCCGTTGAAAACCTCTGGTCAGCACTGAAGCGTCGGATCGCGGAACCGAAACCCAGTAACCTTGTATCCCTAAAAGTAGTGATCACAGAAGAATGGGCAAACATTGGTCAAAATGTTACCAAAGGGTTAGTGGAGTCCATGTCGAGGCGCATTCAAGCAGGTATTGCGGCTAACGGTGGTCACACAAAATATCGAAGGGGATGACGTGGCTGTATCAACACTTATGCACGATGCAATTTACGTTTTTCGAGACTCAAATGTTCATAGAAAGTTCAGTTTCCATTCAATTAACTCAACATTTTGCACATATGTACTCATAGCCACTGTGAATAAATGGTGCACAAATTAGATTAAAATAATAAGCTGTTGTGGAGAACCAACAATTTGAATTTTGTAGAAAACACTGTATCATCATATATGCATGATACTGTAGTTAACTCATTGTTGCCAGAAGGACAGATTTGTGAAAATGTCAAAAATATCCAATATGTCAATGTCAATGTGTCACCAAATTTGACAAATACTTACATTGACACGTTTTAAATGTCAGTTATATTTGAAATTTATGACAATTATGATATGTCGACGTGTCAATTGGCACATTGACAGCCCGAATTTACTGGACGAGTAAAGCTGCCAAAGACCACACCCACAGAGGGGGTGTGGTTATGAGATTGTAAGTATCAAATCAGAATCCATGCAGTTCGCTGAGAAAAATGATATGCTACATGCCTTATATGCGAATGATCTGAAAATCACGCCGAACAATACCCACAGGGGGTGTGGTTTCCAGATTCGAAGTGTTGCATCGTAATCTCCTCGGTCCGCTGAGAAAAATGATATGCTACATGAGCTATCTGCAAGGGATTGTAGAAGTCGCCGGGAACTACACCCACTGGGGGTGTGGTTTCCAAATTTGAAGTATTGCATCGTAATCTGTTCAGTTGGCTGAGAAAAATGATATGCTACATGACCTATCTGCAAAGGATTGGAAAAGTCGCCGGGAACCACACCCACTGGGGGTGTGGTTTCCAAATTTGAAGTATTGCATCGTAATCACCTCGGCACGCTGAGAAAAATGATATGTCGCATGCCAGGTATTGATCAAGTTGATACAAAAGCGCTGATAGCCACACCCCCTGCCCCCATGGTCATACAACATAAGGTCATTGTGTTGAGGTGGATAACACGGTCAAAATTACGTTAAATAGGGATGGTTAATTTGTGAAACCATGGTGGAAACGGATTTTACTCATTTGTTTCCACTTTCGACCACACCCACCACGGCCCATATTAGAGGGGTGTGACCTACTGAGCTCTCCTTTGACGACCCTACAATTCGCCGTGATTTCGCCAAAAATTGGTAACCGAGCCATTATACATCCATTTTAAACTGAAATAACTAGTTGGAAAAATGTATCTCGCTTGTTGACCTTATGACCTCAATATCCGGGGGGTGTGGTCGAATTTAAAAAATCTGGGAATATATATTTCGCCCAACGGTCCAAGGCTTCAAAAACATTTGGAATTTTGAAAATCCATCAACAACATAAGTCACAAGAAATTTTCAAAATCTTGCATGTTTTTATTTATGGCCAAGTTCTATTGACCTTTGACCTCGGTTGGAGGTCAAACCAGTGAAAATCTGGGGTCGGAGGTATGGAGACTTTTGTTCAGCACATCGAAGTCTACAACATATCAAAAATTCAGAAAATTCGACGGCAGGCAGGTTTCCCATAAGAAGGGTGCCTCCTCCTTTTGCAGATTGTATACAATCTGCAAAATTTTACTCTGGGGGCCGTGCATAAAGCATGTGATGGATTTTCAAGGAAATTTGACACCCACCCCCAGTGTGATTAATATATGCCCCATGTTATAATTAACATGAAACAATAGGATGCCTTCGATTACATGCTTTCTACACGGTCCCTCTTCGTCCCATGAGTTCGTCTCATTTTTTAAGGTGCAATAGCATAAGGGTTTTGAGTTTAAATTGTTGTGTCTCAACTTTCCCTGTTTCTATATATTCAAATTTCGATTTTAAGATGTTTTCATAACTATGGGTTTTTTTACAAAATGAAGATTTTGCAAAGTTAGAAGGGTAAAATTTTTGATTTTTATTGAAAATAAAAATATATTTAATTTATAATAATTATTTTTCATCTATTTTATATTTATATATCTTCTCGTTGAAGAAAAAAATTAAACTTGTACTTTCTTTGTAAAATTTTCTTTTTGCAAAAAAACCACGGGGATGATCATGGTCATCCCCGTGGTTTTTGAAACCTGCAGGTTTCAAAAATTGCCAGTTGAATATATGGAAGTAGGGGAATTTTAGAAACAATTCAACCTCGAAACCCATATATATCCCCCCGTATGGCACATTTTAAGTGTACTTTTGTGCTTAAAATACATTAACCAAGTTTAAAAATTAGAAAATTAAAAATAGCTTCAAAATAAAAATACAAAATTCCTTTATCTACGAAATAATTTTGTTAGGTTAGGTTAGGAAAGCAGTGAGTTTGGGTTTTTGAAGGCCTGATGTCCTTTAAGTACCACTTTGTCTCCCTTGCGTTTCATCAATGCATGTGCACATTTGCATAGCATGTCAATGTTGCCCTTATTTTACTGTACATAAGGTTCATGGCAGGGTTGCAGAAATCTCATCTCACTGAGATATAATGAGAAATAGTGAGACATGAGAAATATGAGATTTAGTGAGATTTATGAGCCATGCACTAGCGCCACCTAGCTGACGTGGTCATGAACTAAAAGTTTATCTCATTATTTCTCACATTTCTCACTCAGCCCCAACTGAGATGATTGATATAAATCATTAAATCTCACTAAATCTCACTAGGTGATATATACCACTTGTATGTAACCCTGGTTAATGGAAGTAATCGTATGTACGGGCTCCTCGTCTTATGAATTTACATAGTTTATGCCCACTTTTTTTCAAACCATTTCCGAGATAGATATGGGTACACCTACATAAATTTTATGGATTTATTTTGCAACCTAGGCTGCGAATACATGGGTATTGGGGTAAATATTATTTTTAAGGTTAGGACTAGAAGAGATACAATAGGAAGGAAAGAGAGTAAGTAATAATTTAGATTTATACACGGAAGTTTTAGTGGAAAATGGTGAAAACTTTTAAATCTATCGACGTTTAGAATACTACATATGTATTACTCTTTATCAAGACATACATGTGCAATACAGAATCTGTAAAATGAGAAAAATTACAAAAATTGGTTGCTTAGCAGTCAACGTTTAGTTAATGTGTACGTAAGTAAGTAAGTACGCAAACGTGGAGTGAAGTTACAAATTATTAGATCAATTTCCTCATCGTTCCTCAAGTTTATTCTGACTAACAATGCGAATAATGTCGTGTGAACCACTCTGATTTGGCTGAAATTGTAAATTTGTGTAGTCCACGTCAATGCCAGAGTTGAGTAGTAATGAGTAGGATCCGTGTTTTCAGAGATCCGTTTCTAGAATAAAAAATATATCGGATACGATCCAATCTGTACCAGAAATCAACGCGGACGAGTTTGTCGGGGGCGCAATTTTGGGGCGGCGCCACTTTAATACGGATTTTTCAGCGCGTCTCAATGTTGAAGGAATAGGGAATTAGATTTATCGGCGTCGGCGGCGCGTAAAAGCTATCGGCGTCGGCGGCGCTTAAAATGCCATCGGCGTATGGCGGCGCGGCGGCGTGAAATCGGCGGCGTTGACCTCTGATCTGTTCACATACATAAGATATGCATGTACAATATGACAACATAAATAAACAACAGTTCAGCGAGAACCGAGTCTAGACGAGTACTCGTTGCATTCCCTAACTTGGCAGCCTAATAAGGTTTCGGAGTGTTAAGTCAGGTCAACCTTTATTCAAGTGTTAATGGAAATCAGTTAACAAAACTGGTTTGCCAACCATTACACAATAAGGCAATAAAATTTATTTATATCAGTGTTGCATAGGGCTCCCCACAAGATGGGACAAGACAAGATTATACGTCTTGTCTCGTCTTGTTACAATCTGCGGGACGAAATATAAAGACAAGACGGGACGACAAGCTGTCCCGTCTTGCCCGTCCCGTGCAAGACGGGACGCATATGTTTTAAATGGGTTGAATTTTAAATCTATTCACAAAATTTAAGTTCGCTTCAGGATGCAGGATACAAATTGTTTTTACTAATTACAGATTAATTTAACCAAGGTTTCGACTGGTAAAAATCACATTACACAGGACCTTTGCCATCCGAGGAGAGCCAGCCCAAGTGTAGTACAAAACTCGTTTCGATATTTGGCGAGAGGCAGAGTGAGAATCGGATTCTGGTGGGTATCTACCACCACCGCTGGCTGTCGGCTGTCGTTGCGACAGTGCCGTATGGCCCGAGATCCGTGATTAATTAATCGTGATTAAGGATTGAGATTAAGGATTAATAATCCTTAATGCTTAATCCCAACAAAAAAATGTGTGAAATCAATCCTTAATCCCGACGAAATATTTTTGCTCCATTAATCCTTAATGCTTAATCCCGACGAAGCATGCCCAAATTATTAATCCTTAATCGTGATTAGGATTAATTCTCGCGAGAGATTAATACTGCGAATGAGCAAGGTAACAGTTATTCTCAACCATGTGATATTTTTCCATTCTTTCTACTTTCCTCTCCTGAAATTATCTAGCATGCATTATATTTTTTAACTTTATATTGTTGCTTCCATAAAAGTACTGATTCAATCGTTAATCATGGCGAACAGGAATCTAACTGAACTGAAAGGTTTGCCATTCGTTTTGACCGGCACATTTTTTGATGTCGAAGAACTTGACAAGTCTTGTGGCTCTGTAAAGGCCAGGGGCATAGCTCGTGCACCAAAACTTGCCGTAATTGGCGGGGATATTATTCCAACATTGATTACTTAACGCACACTACTATATATTGCACGTTTTGTAAGTATTTGAGATTTGACACATTAATATCGCTGTGTCGATAATTCTGTGCAGGAAAATAAAAATTATATTAATCCTTAATCATGAATTAATCAGGATTAATTAATCCTTAATCCTTAATCCCAGCAAATTGAATTATTTAATTAATCCTGGACTAATCTAATCCCGGAATAACATTAATCCTTAATCCTTAATCCCACAAAAAAATTCATTAATCACGGATCTCTGCGTATGGCACTGTCGTATGGCACTTTCGTATAAATTCAAAAAAGCTTTAGTTTTAAATTTGGGGTGATTAGGTAATTAAAATATCACAAATTTTAGTAAGTTGGGTAATTGACTTACATATCTCATTAGTGGCCAGAGTTTGTTACGGCTCTTGCAAAATAAGTCCCTCCCATAGAAACTTTGACCCCAACTTTCTCAGGGTACCAGCGTTTCCCTTCGGGCAACAAGAGCTGAAACTGTAGCCCTTCCTAAGGAGAAAAATTTGGCATCAGGTTGTCCGAAGTGAATGGCTGGTACCTTGAGTTTTTTAATAATTTATGTGTATGTGTAAAAACCGCCAATTTTCGAATTTTGAAACTTTTGATGCATCAAAATATCCGTATTCAAGGGGGAAGTCAAATGCAAAAGCAAGTTGAGGTTTTATTCTTATTGTACCGAAGGCACATTTGATTTCTCATGTTTCCCGATTTTATTCCCCAATTTTTAAAGGGGGAGTGGTTGCACATAATTCAAAAATAGCTATATGCCATATTAATCCTTTCTCCCAAAATTAAATTTTAAGGCTGCTCGCTCGCTTTAAATTTTAAGTCGCTTAAATTGCGACGGTATGCAACAACACTGTTGCATACCGTCGCATTGTATGTATTTACATAAATATTTAAGAGTACCAAATAATCAAGCGGAACTGAAATGTATATATTATGTAATTTATTTTTATTGCTGTGAAAGGGCTAAATGAAAATTTTATTTATTTATTGGGCTGGGTACCTCTACCAAGTACCCCAATCCATTACATAATGTGCCTGAATACGTACTTTTTTAGTATGGTTGGATTTATGAAAGGAGAAGTCTGCCCGCCATAAACTTTACAAGTAAAAAAGCCTCTTCTTTAGAAAATCAGACTATGCACATATGTACGTAGTTTTTTATTACTTCGTATAGACATATTTTTAGATTGGTGTGTTAGACCAGTCTGATAGACTGAATGTGATTAACACTTGAATATAGGTTTATTTAAAATTGAAAATTGATATTTAAATTGAGGTACTTCGTAGAAGTACCTAACCCAACCTGTGGGAAAACAGGATGGTTCGGTCGGGTGAGGTCATATCAATTCAGAAGGAATTAAATTTTCCCATGTAATTTATTCTTAACATTTATTGGCTTGAGGTATTCTCCGCAGGTTGTGTCAATGTTTTGAAGGAAAGGTTCCGTGCTGGCCAATAACGGATTTCGATGCTATTTGGACATGTGGACTATAAACATAAGTTGCGATAGGTTTAACCAAAGTTGAGTGAAAAGGAGGATGCCAAAAAATGGGTAAAATTTGCTCAATCGTTGTGTAAAATTATCTGAGAGTAAATTTAGAACAGCTTTAAATTCATTTTAGAGCGTAGCAATTTTGTGTTTTACGTATGTAGTACACTCATTACGTTTATTGTACAATATGCAAATGGCATCAAAATCAGTTGCTGTAAAGTATTGAAGTTCCCCTTATTACATAAATTAGAAGAATTTTAATAGCTTTCAGATTTAGCTATCCCCGTTATTCATGACTCAAGTGCACATATACTTATCAAGGTTTTTCAAGTACTTGGTAGGCTTGGCTTGAATTTTCCTACCGTAGATATTGATGTGAACATTTTCTCTTAGGTGGATAACAAGAAAGGATGGAGTTCGATTATTCAAGACCAAAAGTTAATCCTGCTTTGTAAGATTTCAACAATTCGTTTGCATTTGAAGGATGTGTGGTTGTGAAATTTTTGAAGCTAAATAAAGTTTAAATATTTATTTATTCATTTATTCAGATTCTGACCCATAAATTGGGCAGATTATGTATTTCCAAGTTCTGATCACTAGCAAAGCCTGAAATGTATAATATTTACTTTAGGTTTTAAATGAATTTTTGACACCTGCGTTTCAGAAATTTCGTATCCACCAATTACGAAAATATTTTCTAGCCAGTCTAGTAATAAAATATTTTCTTGTGCTATTTATTTTTATTTTTTATTTTGTTTTTGCAGTCGCTCCGTATTCGATTTGAAGCAAGTATTACAAGACTTTGAAAGTGCTCGTTCCATTCCTCAAGCAATTTCAGAAGACAACCTTAAACAACGTGTGTCTGCTCCGGACTGGATTGATTTAAATTTGGCGCGACGAGGGCAGAAATTCGCTCGAGGTAACATCCTCGCAATCTCGATATCGCACTCGTACGGCTTGACCACCATGCCGCATCCGGATTTGGTTAATGTCCTGCTGTTCACGGGGCGTTCATCGAGCCCGGAAAGTGCAGCTAAGCGTTATTATTCCACCACGACGGAAATTTTGTCCTGGTATGATGAACTTCCGTGGGGATCTGGTCCAGGCGGAGGAGAATTTGCGGAGGTTGCGAAAAGGTACCTTCAAACCAAGCAAACATACCTGTTCAAATTCATTTATTCATAGCGAATGGATAAATTATTCATTTATTATTCAATAAACTTTATGAATAATGAGTTAGAATTTTTTCAACATTTTTGTACGATTGAATATTTAATGGAGTTTGGTTATGTAAATATTTATTAATTTCATATTCGTGAAGTGGGAGTTAATAATTTTACTCATTATTTGTTTTTCACTGTAGACCTGGTTAATACGGATGAATTGAGAAATTCGTCTCAGAAGACGAATTTAAGATAAAATGAATAAGAAATGAATAACGAATAAATGTTGATTTTTAAATTTTGAGTAAATGAAGAATTAATGAATATATCTTTCCCAGGAAGTTGTTACATAATTTAATGGGTTATGAATGATCAAACGTTTTTTTGAACAGGTATGCAATCAAGATAAAAAGAAGGTAACTTGATATTCGTTAATCATGATATGTTGTTTAATAAGTAGTCTAAAAAGAGTCAGGATGCTACAGTTAAAACTTGCGAGAACCATATCAAGCAAAATTTCGCGTGAGGGAATTAATCTAAATTCACGCGACTATTCTGCCTACACCCCTATCGCAGCTTGGCCCTCGTTTCATAAAGATCTTGAAGAATCAAACATCCCGCTGTGCCAGAGGCGTATCCCGCCAACTTTTGGGGAAAGTAAGGACTTCATCCCCTTCAATCAGCATGCACTTGCCCTCACACAATTCTCCTTTGTCGGTTATCCCATCCTATTTCCGGAACGGTTTGGAATTTTCCGCCCAAGCGAGGATGATCTCTGGGCTTTCAACCATTTTTGGGCCATCCTCGGATATACTTTAGGCCTTGAAGACAAGTACAACATTGCACTCCAACCAGACCTAAAGTCGGTGAGGGAAGTTTACCTCGAAATATTTGAGAGGTACACAATTGCAGCAGGGTTCCACTGGTGGCCGGGTGCTGTATGTCTGGTGGATAGTATTTTCCAGGTTTGTACACTTTATAAGAATTGTTATTGGTGATAGACATGACTCTACTGGCTCTGGTGACCATAAGTTTTACTAAATGGCCGGTTTTGACAAGGGAACTTGTCCAAAAATGCGATGGTGTGAATTGTAACCCTCCGATTTGGTTGAAATTTTGAAATTATGTGGTCCATGTCAACACAAACAACGTTTCTTCAGGCAGTTTGTGCGATGGTCAGGATTTGGCAAAATATTTAAGGCCAAAGTTGATAAACGGGCGATTTTTACCACGCGGAGGAAGCAAACTCAACTTCAATTCTTTCGCCGTGCTAAAAATCTCACATTTTTCAACTTTGCCCTAAAATATTTTTATAAATTCTGCTCATCGCACAAACTGCCTGAAGAAACGTTGGTTGTATTGACATGGACCACATAATTTCGAAATTTCAACCAAATCGGAGGGTTACACTTCACACCATCGCATTGTAAGCTATGATGTCAAACATGAGGAATGATGTGGTACTCATCTTTCCATTTGAATGGTCCCTTGGTGGGAAAATATTGGGTCAAATTTAAAGTGCCCAACCAAAATTTATTTTCTTCCAACCAAAACCAATAATTTTCGCAACGCTAAAATCTGCAACCAATCAATTTTTTGTCCAACCAAAACGTAAAACAATACAACTAAATACTTAGATATACACATAATTAACTGAATTCAAATGTCCCAGCCATAAAATTTCAAAGAGTGTAAATGATGGAGGAAACGACAATAAAAATGGATCGTACTATCTGTTAATAAAATACTTATGCTTTCTGTTTATTAATTAATGCAGGGTCTGGAAAGGATTACTTTGCTAGGGACACCAAACTTTCTGCTGTATCGAATATTGCGCGATGTTTTTGACGTGGCTGGTCCAAATATGTGGAAATGTCTAACGATTAGAGAAAAGCTTAACAGCTCGTTTGCAGACCATGTGTTTCTTCCAATTCTGTTAAAGTATCAAGTTACCAGAAAACTCTGTACGTTCTTGTACGTTCGTCATACTCAATTTTGTACACATTATTAACTTGTTATATAAATATTTTTAATCAAGTACGCAAAATTCATAAAACATATGTATGAATAGATACCTATAAAAAAAGTGTACTTTGTACTAAACAAAATGCTGCGGAGAATGTTTGTGATGACATGTGAGTGACAAATTTCTTGCTTTTGCCAAAAGTACTTGGCAATTGATACCATTCGTAAAAACACGATAGTTTGAAGTTAAACCTTTCTTTAAATATTCGGTTATTGTTCATTAAACAATACTTTTATTGTTAAATTTTATTTATTGCAAGCTTTAATAATATGTAGTATGGAAGGGAGCAGTCCAAATTTTTATAATCGGCCATAATTTTCGTGTTAATATCCATACGCCCCGCCATAGCGAACGTCGATATCGTCCAGCTGAATCTCGCTCTCATCCATGTGCAGGATACACTTGAACTCGTCGATGAGGTAGCGGTCACACAGTAGCATCCAATAGGCATGCCCGTCCATCCATCCGCGCATAATGTTGACATAGTCGGTCATCCCGTCTCGACCTGGGTGGTCCTTGTATCTCTCCAAAAGGTCCGGGTACATGGCCTCGAAATCGATGCAGATTTGGTTCGTGTCGTCAACCACGGACTGGAAGCACTTGGCAAAATCTCCGCCATATTCGCCATTGAGGTAGCGAAGGTTGGCCTGAAAAATGAAAAAAAACTGGCGTTAAATAGAGTAACCGTTTTCACCGTAAACTCGTCATATGTCCTTTGAGGACCAAATACTTCATATCACGTATTTTAAAAATGCAGATTTCTAAAAATTTCTCAAGATACGAGTATTTTGTGGAAAACTATTTGGTAAAACGTTGATTTCTTTGGATATTTTTCTTGACAAATTTTTTTTTTACACTACGAATCAAACCACCCAAAATCTCTCATTGAATCTCTTCCGTACTGTCAAGCATTACGTATAAAAAAGATATGTTCCGATCCTGAAAATGCTGTGAAACAAATTGATATGTTATTCGGAAAATTTTCAAAACGGGGTTATCCTTTGAATGTACTACATAAATGTTTATTGAAAATTAATCAGATAAGCAGACATGATATTCTTAAGCCAAAAACTCAACTTGTGATAAAGCATTTAAAACATAATAATCCTACTGTGTTATGTAAATATACCAATGTCAACTTACATGAAAAAGAGATGCATGAAAAAGTGTTTATTGTCATGCCGTTCTACAAGAATATGTATGGTTTTAAGAAATTATTTATAGATTTTATTGTATGTGAAGCAAAGAAAGGTCAAAATGTAAAATATAAACAAATATTAACAAACCTTAATTTAATTATATCTTACAAAAAAACTACCCAACTAAAAAGGTACACTGGCCAGCAACATAAAACTGGATAACAGTATCAATTTGTACTCAACTCGAGGCGTAACATATGAAAAAAATATTTGCCCAAAAAAAGTTTAAGAAACTTGTAAACAACTTATTAACATTTTTAAAAAACAAACTATAACAAGTCACTCAGCAGATAATTTTTGAAATTCTGTTACAAAACTTACTAAAGTCTTTAATTTTACCAGATTATTTAAGAACACAATTACACTTATGTGAATAAGCATGTGAATATGCATGTGCATATACATATGTATATACTTTTATATTCAAACTTAATTGGAAATTTAATTCACTTTATGTTATTTTATATTAATTATTTTGTAATTTTCTATAATTTCGTAGCCTGAAGAAGCTGTACTTTATGGCGAAACCGGTCGCAGCTGGTGAATAAATCAGATTATTTGTCAATCAGTTGGAAGTGTTTTCTTCACACCTTCAAAGATCTCGACCAATGTTAAAATGTTGATTTTTTGTGATTTTCAGCAAAAAACTCGACACTTGGAAACTCGTTGACATAAAAATTTATTTTTGTAGGAAATCATGAAAATATGATTGGTTGCCACCAGATGAATCGAATATCGTACTCAAGTGAATTTTTTAATAAATAGTACGAAAGAGGTTAACATTTCAGAATATTTAGGCATTAAAGGAGGATGAGAATCTAAATTATTTAGACAAAATAAGCTTTAAACGTACCGCGTTAAATGGTTCTCCAGCTAAGACCTCACGTCTCACTGAGTAAAGGTCATTCACAAAAACGACATGGACAGCACACATTTTTCTAAGTTTGATAAATAGGTCGTCATCCCGAATATCTTGGGGCACCTTGACACCCCGGACGAAAGAGACCATCTCGAGGCATGGATATATTCCGACCGAGTCCCGCCGAACGTCGACGTAATCCTCAAATTTGATCTTGTTCCCTTCAGAACGGGCCTTTCGAAGTTCGGCTTCTGGCGTGAGAGCTCTCGTGTAAGCTAGAAACTCTTCAATGGCGTAAAACCCAGAGTTATCGGGTTTCGTGATTTGTCCCCGAAGTTCGGTGATCATATGGGTGAGCGGGGTGTAGTCGGGGAAGAGACGGTTGAATTTGGCGGGTTCTATTCCAAATGTAGTTGCCACGTCGGAAACGGACGCGCCACGCACGACAGCATTGAAGTTGTCGGCAACCTTTCCCACGATCGAGGCAGGAACTTCTTTGAAAAGAGAGTGGTTGTCGACGGTGTCATCTACATAAATAGATAAGTTTTGAAATATGTTTGGGTATGTTATTGTTTTAAAATATTAATTAAATGTATGTGTGACATGTGCGAAAAAGATGTGATCGGTTTTTGGAGAAAAGACTTATTTTAAAATTTCTTTTGAATTGGCAAAATTCAATATTGTTCCTCCACAATGGCTTGATTTTCCAGGGCCATAGGAGCAACAAAAAAGCTGAGGGCCCCCACGGGAAATATCTCAATAAATACATTAAATAAAAAAAATTAAAACGAAAATATATAAGTTCATATTTTTTTTAAAGTGTTATTTGTTATTGCTGTCGAAATAATTTATTTTTGAAGAATCTCGAAAACAACGTGCAGTTTGACATACAATACTCAAAACCTACCTATAAATAGGAACGTTCCCATCATCAATGTGAACGGGGCGACGTCGTCCATCGATGACCCCAAAGCTGTTAGCGCACACAGCGTCGAAATTCCCGTCTTCAACCAGTTCCCGTTCGCCCACTTTTCTCTAAAACCGTACGACGCAGACTGTTTCGCGAATAAATCTTCGGACCTTTTTACTGCCTCGTAGTACAAATCCGTCCGAGGGAATTGTCCCCACGGGAGGTACTGGAGCAACTCGCAGTCCGGAATGACGAGGTCTTCTTTCGTTGGCGACCAGAAATTGGGGGTCGTCCCGTGACTCGTCCATAACGTCCAGGGGACACCTTGCAAATTTTCGAATACTTTAGTCTGACAATGGAGGTCTCCCAACGTATGCTCACAGATTAGGACCAATTTAGCGTCAATCGATCACAAATATAATTAGTATGAAATTTGCAAATGGCACTATCTGTCAATGGTCAAGTTTTGCGGAGATATTTGCATAAAAAGGGGAGGTAAACGCATCCCCACAGCTTGCAAATTTTCCATTTTCCAAATTTGCCTCGCATTTTTCCCGCTTTGGATGCAAATACCTCGGTCAAACCTGCGCATTGGCAGATAGTTCCATTTGCAGATTTCATACTAATTATATTTGTGATCGATTGACGCTAGTTTGGTCAAAATCTGTGGGCATACGCTAGGAGACCCCCATTTTAAGTTGGGATTCATCTAATTACGTGTCAACAACTGGCTAATTAAGGGGCTCTAAAATCATAAATAGTGCAAATTTAAGCCGGTGGGAGGTCTCATGTATTTAATCAAGTGGCAAATTTCAGCTTCATAAGTGGGGCTTTAAATTACCTTGCACCGCTTTGTGGAATTTCTGCGCACTCTTCCCGTTCTTCAAATTGTAGATGGAGCCCATGGCGATGGGGTGAACGAGTTCGTACTTTGAAGTGTTACCCGTTTTGAAGACGACCCTGCCCAGACGGGTAAGATAAGCGTCGGCATCGTTCGGAACTCCGCGGACGATAAGTGGTTCCGGGGAAGGCGAGATTTTGTTGGGTTTTTGGTCGTGGGATGAATCCACCCCGTTTAAAGTCTCGACTGGTTTCCCTACCATTTTGAAGATTTTAGGGATTTTAAAACTTGTTTAGAAGTCGGTTGAAAGCGAGGAAATGACGAGTTTAGAGTAGAATTTGGTACCTATTTATATGGCAGATTTATGTATGCCAGAAGATTGATACGCGTGTATTCCGTGGGAATATGTAGTGATGCAGGAAATTGATTAAAGATAAATTTGATTAAATAAATAAATTTACAATACCTACTATATAAAATGAGAATATTATAAAATTAAGTATAATTTTTAGTTAGGTAGCACATCTACGATCAAGAATTACGTCAAGACTCTGCAGAAAAATTAAATCGGACCTTACGATCCCGAAAACGATTTAGAATTAAGTTACAAGTAATCAAACCTGAATAATTATGCGTCTGGATGAAGTAAATACATACATAAAAAACAAAGAGTTTCTAATACGTAATGCATGTGGAAATAAAGGGTTTTATTGATTTGGCGAGATATTTAGCATTGTTGGTGCACCTTGTGTAACGCATGCATATAATTTTTACTTCGTTTTGATGATAGACAAGGTAGTTAGGTTTTATGCATTTTTTCAGAACTTATGTATGTAGATACGTATGTAGGTACGTATGCACACGCCAGTGTCGGTGTAAAATGCCTAATGCAAGAAAATCAGTTTATCCCTGAACCAGGGTTGCAGAAATCTCATCTCACCCTCGTAAATCTCATCTCACTGAGATATAATGAGAAATAGTGAGACATGAGAAATATGAGATATAGTGAGATTTGTGAGCCATGCACTAGCGCCACCTAGCGGACGGGGTCATGAACTAAAAGTTTATCTCATTATTTCTCATATTTCTCACTCAGCCCCAAGTGAGAGGATTGATATATATCATTAAATCTCACTAAATCTCACTCAGTGATATATATCACTTGTAACCCTGCCCTGAACATTCACCAGCGGATGCCTATAATTGATAATCGTAAAACTAGCTATTACTATCAATGCAGGTTTTCTAAATGTAACGTTCAGATTTACATGGAAATTATCTTTTCACCAAAACAAGTAAGCGTGATAATATATTTTGATTTTTACAACATTCCTATTTCATAAGAACGCTTTAGAAATTTTAATTTTTTTTCAGTTGAGATTTTAAAATCCTGGAATTGTAAGCTCTCATTAAATCAGAAACAGGTTTATTTAAAATCTCTTGCATAATTTATTACAAATCTTGTAAAACTGAAAAGTTAAAACGTTACAACAGTTTAAGAAATTTGGAAGATTTGTAGAAACTCGAGAAGTATGAAATTCATATTTTGCGACGATTTGATTTTTAACAAATTAGTTAAGCTTTGGTTCTCCCCATAAAGTTGGAAAAATTCCAGGATTTTTAAAACACGAGGTTTAAGCTGGAAACCCGTTAGAAATTCATGATGAAATTATTGAATTGTGAGAAATCAAAATGTACTTAAATGCAAGCACATTTTTATATTTTTTTCTGGCGAACAAATTAGAGTGTAAAAGTTTACATGCAAATCTGAGTTGTACATGTGAGAGACGTGCCTTGTGAGTTGCAGGATGGATCACGATCATGATCCACGTGCGTAAGAAATCAGTTTCAAGGACCTGGTCACGTACACCTGTCAAATATTTGATCTGGGACTGGGCAGAAAGCATGTGATCAAATTGAGGGGAGGGGGCACGGGTTAAGGCGACATATGCTTCCCATGTTAATTATAACATGGGGCGGGTATGGGTCAAAATTCCCTGAAAATCGATCTTGTGCGCTATGTACGGCCCCAACATATTTTGTTCGAATAAGGAAAATTGGACGAATTTTTGTTGGGATATGTTTAAGGAATTTAGACCCTCATAATTTCTTAATAAGTTCCACGTGGAACTTTTGATGGAGGTATGGGTGTTGAAAGAGTTAATAAATAGGTATGTATGAAGGCATTATAATATTTAATAAGCAATTTATTTAGCTACTGGTTAAATAATAATTGGACCAAATAAATAGGGAATAGTTTATTGTCGGAATTATTTCCTCAGGTGCATAGTTTTAAGCATTCGGGTAAATCAAATGTGTAAAGAATTCCCGTGGAAGGAATGGAATTATGTATTTAGGTGTTAAAAGGAAATAGATAAATTAATAAATTGACTAAATGAGTAAAATAAATAAATTGACGGTACATGTTAATTAAAATTAGGAGTGACAATAAAACATTGAAATCGTAATTTGTTCACACACAAAATTGGACTTTGATGAGATCTTCTGGATATGTGGAACTGATTTTTATGCATATAATTTTTATCAGTTTTAGCCTTGCATTTTTATTTATTCTGCCTCCCCCTTTGCTGAGTGGGGGGAGTTCATAGTTGAAAAAAATTGCAGCACCAGCAAAAATACTTGGCAAACATGAAGATACATAATTATGAAATATGTAAGTATCTGCAAAAGTTTCTCAATCCTTTTCACACATATCTACATAAATCTAATTGTGGACTTGAATCCTTGACTGTAGAAGAAATCAATATGCAGATGTATGCTAAGATTAATTAAGTACATATTTCTCTAAATAAATAGTATACTGCATAAATAACGAGAGAGAGTTTGCTGATGTGAATTGATTAAACTCTTATCGACGAAGAACACACATTTGTGTAGTATTTATTTTTCCATTTACAACGAAATACACAAATGTGTGTACTGCAAAAATTTCCTTGACGCCAAAATTTCTTTGAAG